TTCTTCCCAAATTTCATAGTTTGTTCTAACTTGAAATCAACTTGTGACTACACTATTTACTCCCTCTTTTTGACTTTGAAATGGTCTTTGTTTTCAAATTGATATATCTAGTCTCCTATTTTCAGTCCTGTAAATTTGTTTTACTTTGGATACTTCTATATCTGTGTTGGAGTCCTGGTGTGGCACAGTGGCTTAATGCGCTAGACTGCAAAGCCCTTTGGACTGCAAGGTTGTGGTTTAAGCTTACCAGTTGTTCCTTAGAAACCCTAAACAGGGTCGCTATAAGTTGGAGCCAACTCGACAGCACTTAACAACAACAACAACAACAAATATCTGAGTTGACATCTGGGTGGTGTCATGTATGTTAATCTCAGCTTGTTGTTTGATGTTGATTTTCTATTCAAAGAATTTCCTTTGGTATTTCTTGTAAGATTGGTCTGGTTTTTGCAAATTTTATGTATCTGGAAATGCCCTAATTTTACCATTGTATTTGAGGGACGATTTTACTAGGTATATGATTCTTGGTTGGCAATTTTTGTCTTTCAGGGTTTTATATATGTTATTTCAGTGCCTTCTTGTCTGCATGGATTCTGCTGAGAAATCAGAGTTTAGTCTTTGTAGGTAACCTTTTGTTTTTCTTGAGCTGCTTTCAGAATTCTTTCCTTATCTTTGGTTTTGGAAAGTCTGATTTTGATGTATCTTAATGATTTCCTTTTAGGGTCTATTCTGTTTGGGGTTTGCTGAGCTTCTTAAAAGCACATTTTCTTGTCTAGCAACTCTTTGACAATTTTCTCTGTGGGTTTTTTTTTATTTTTTTATTTTTTTATTTACATTTCCTGTTCTGAAATTCTTATCACATGTGTTACTCTTCACAAAATTCTTAAACTTTCTTCACCTTTTTTTCTGATTGTTCCTCTAGGTATTGAGAGATTTTCTTTAATCTCACTCATTCTTTCATTGAGTCAATTCTACTCCTTTACCTTTGCAATGCATTATCTATTTCTGAAATCTTATATTAATCATCTGGATTTCTATTTGCTATTTTTGTATGGTTTCTGATTTTTCATTTGTTCTGTCAATTTGTTCTTGTAGTATTTTCCTGAATTCTACTAAAGTTTTGTCTGTGTTTTCCATGATTTCATTTGCAGCTTTCTCAAATTTTCACTCAGTCCATTGAAAGTACCTAAACATCATTCTTTTGAATTTCTTATCGGGTACTTCCATTCCCATTTCTTCCTCAGGACAGGTATCTGATTCTGTATTTTGGTCACTAGTTTGGACCACTCTGTTGTTTCTTCCTGTGAACTGAAATTGTCTGTTTCATCTGAGACATTGTGGTGTTGTATTTATATTTAATTGGTGAAAGTATGTTGGTGTGTTCTTAGGTACTCACAAACATCTCCTGATGGTGTGATACTGATGGGAGTGTGTGTGCAGTTCTCTGTTTGCTGTGGGGAAGTTGAAGGTGGGTGGTCTGGTGTTGACTACTGTGTCTTTATGTTGATTGGGTGGTGCAGGAATGAGTAGTGGCCCTTGTACAGTGGGTGAGGCTGAAGGAGGTGCAGGTGTGGCTGGGCAGTGTGGACATGGCTTCTGTCTCCCATTGGGTAGGACAAGAAAAAAAACAAATTAAAAAACAAAAACCAACAACAGAAAAAAAGAAAAAGAGCCAAGTGTGTGGGGGAACAAGCAAACAATGGTAAAAAAGACACAACTAAAAATAAAAAGAGATAAAAGGACAGGAACATAAACAAGGGAAGAAACACAGAAAAGAGGAAGGAAAAAAGAAGCAAAACTGTGGTTATGTGTCACTGAGTTAGTTCTGACTCATAGCTACCCTGCATAAGGTTTTTGAGGAGTGGCTGGTGGGTTTGAACATCTAATCTTTAGTTAGCAGTCCAATGTTTATCCTACAGTGCCATATCAGGAATCCAAACAAAACTAGTGAAGGGGAAACAAGAAAAGAGAATAGTAAAGAAAAAAACTAAATGGAAAAAAGAAAGAAAAAGAAGGCAATAGAAAAATACTAAAGAAAAAAAGATAAAAGGAAAGCAGAAAAAGGGAAAAAAAAAAACAACAAGGAAAGGGAAAGAGAATAAAAGGAGAAAACTGGGGGTGGGGGACACCAGGGCACCCTGTACAGGTTGGCGCCCTCTGCTGGCCAAGGTCACAGGCGGGGAGTGGGGAGGGATTCCAGGTCCTAGATGGAGTTCCTGCCAGTCTAGAAGGTGTCTGGGTCAGGATGCCTGACCTGGAAAAAGTTCTTGAGGGCCCAGAGGGCGACTGGGGGCATGGAGCCTAGTTTCAGGAGTTCCTGCCAACTCAGAGGGTGGCTGTGGTCAGGGGTGGCTGGGGGGTTGGGGGGGCACTGGGAATTTTGTTGGTCTGAGGCAGAAAGCAAGTACTTCCAGTTGCAGGGGTGGTACCCAACCTACAAGGGAGCAGGTGGAACAAAAGCTATGCAGGGGTGGGGTCAGTGTCACAGGTTTTTGGGTGGTTAAGGGTGAGAGCTGGCCATACTTCTGGTCATTGGGAGGGTGTGGGGAACAAGGGGAGGATTGTATCTATCTGGTCTCCAGCCACTGGTGTGGGCTCTTGGGTGGTCCTGGGTGAGTGGAGCCAATGAAAACGTTTATTGCCTACAAAAAGTTCAAACCGGCAGCACTAGTCAGTCAGGCCAGATTCACAGTTCACAGGCTATTTGTCTCTTCCCTTGCTGCTTTTGTCCGCTTCTTCCCTTAGTCAGTATTCTATCCAATTTTCTATCCCTTCCTCAGAAGCATGGGATTCCAGGATCTGTATCCGTTTCATTAGGTCTCTCGGGTTTTTGTTGTAGAGGGTCTGGGTAGAATGTCTGCCTAGTCTATCATCTCACCGGAAGTCCCTGGTCATAACATGACCAAATTATGCTGACTTGTCCCTTAGTCATTCTTGATTCAATTCTAATTTTTTTTTTTCTTTTTGGAATTTAGTTTATTCACACCTCTGTGTATCTATTGCTGTGTACCACTAAGTAGATTCTGACTCATAACATCCCTATACAGCAGAGTAGAACAGTTCATTTCCTAGGCCGTAAAACCCCTATACAGGGTCACTATGGGTCAGAACCAACTTGACGACACTTAGCAACAAAACAACAAATCTTTGGGGGAGAAGATCACTAGATCTTTACTCCTGAGGAGCTGCTGGTGCTGGTGGATTCTAACCACTAACCTTTTAGTTAGCAGTTGCTTAACCATTGTGCCACCAGGGGTCCTTTCTATCTACCCCTTTCTATTTATACAAATAAAGAAAAATAAATGTACTTTATGACCAGAAAAAATAGCCACTATATTTACACTCTTCTACTTTTCAAAATTAATTTAAAAACATCTTATTAATGTCACTCTTTTTCAGCTTTTTAAAAATTATATTACCTATTTGTCCATTTCATAGTGACTTCTTTTTTGAGTATCATAATGGGTTAAAATATTTCAAAAACTCACTTTGTTCCAATTAACTATATTATTTTCTATCTGATGGAGCCTCATTAAGTTGCTTCCTTTGTTTTTTTTTAGCTCTCTTTTATACATTTGAAAAAGTATCCTTGCTCTTTCTCATTAGCAACATGGTCTAGGCCTAGAGTTATTTAGGGCATGGGACTATTCTCCAAGGAACTCTAGGTCCTTTTCATTGTGAATAATATTTTAGACCAAAATCTTGGTGTTAAGAATGTGTATCAGACTGTTCCTGATGTCTTTAAGCTATGTTAGCAACAATGTTTCAAGAAAAAATATTTTTAAAATCACAAATTCACACTGGTATGTCCTCTTTAGTCCAAACATTACTAAATCCTTTTTTATTTGACTCTACTGTACAGTTTTACATTTTTCTCTTTACAAAACACTTGCTTATATCTTTAACCCTGTACCTGTAACGACATTCCCTCTCTACTGGTCTTTCAGTTTATCACTGACCCCCATTCTCTCTTCACTTCATTGATAGATTCATCTATGCTGGGACAACGGGACTGTGTGGCAAGAGAGAGGGAATTTAAGACACTGGCAATGGAGTAGTTGTAGGGATGGATCATGGAATCCAAGACGGTAGGAAGTTTAAGAAGGAGGATAAAGCATTATGAATCAGGAGAAAGAAGAGTCGGGTGATAGACTGGAACAGGTACAGTGAAGGTAAATGAAGGAAATGGCAGTCAGAGTGTGGAGTGATGAAGTTCTGACTTGAGAGTGGAGCAATTCTAGGAGGTGGCTAACAGAAAGGAAGCAAAGTCATAGGTGTGTGAGCCGCCACTCCAACTTCCAAGGCAGCTCCACTTATGAACAGTGCTGGGGCAAATACACACACATCCCATATCTCGGTGGGGAGATAAGGGCAAGATCACCAGGGTCCTGGCACTGATGAATGCCTGCCACTCCATTCACAGGAAAACTTGTACTGTGTTCAGCCGCCATAGCCTCTGAGCTGCTTTGTGGCCCTCCCCAACTGCTGCTCATGGCTGTGCCTCCACCCTCTTCATACCATGCTGGCTCTGCTCCTGACTGTGCTGGCTGAGTTCCGGAATTTTGGAACTCCTCACAGGAAGGAGCGTGCAGAGTATGCTGAGGCTAGTCCATCTGGTCCCCTGTGGGGGCCTGTCAGGCTCACCTGTGCCACCTGTCTCCAAATAGCATTGAGCAGGAAGCTGAGTCAGAGAAGGAAGAACAGGAAAAGCAAAGTGGTGGGAGCCACTCTTCCAGCCAAATCTTGCCCTGATTCTGAGGATTCTGACGCTGCAGACACAAAAAGATATAGTGGGGAAGCTAAGGAGGGCAGACGAGAGGGCATGTGAGAAGGGGCCAGACCTGGAGATGCCATAGCTCTACTCTTAATTTTGGGTGTTTGGCAGAGTCCCATGCAAGAAGGTGGGATACAGGCAGCCAGAAGGAGCCTCTCCCTTGCCCCAAAGATGTTGTTTCTGGGGCAAGAGAGGGCTTAGAGAGCCTGCTTTTGAAAGATTCGGGCCCTTAGAGTGGGAAGATGAGGAAGCCAGAGAAGCTTGAATATTTCCAGCCTCCCAGCAGGTTCCCCCGACGCAGGCGCAGGGACACCCGGTCCCCGGGGTCCAGGGGCAACAGCACAGAGCTGGTGGCTGCTTCCCGGGTCACATCAGGGTCGTTGGCAAAGGCTGAGATGACAGGCCATGTGTTCAGCATCAGGCTTACCTGGGGAGGGGAGCTTGGTCAGCACTCTCCTTTAGCCCTAGGTTCTCCTTCTCTCAGGGGCCCCAAGGGTTCCCGCTCATCTCTCCAACTCCAAAGAGGAAGTCTGTAGAGTCCTGGAAATGCTGGGGTTGGCCAGCGTTTGACTTGCACATTTCCCACACTCTGTTAGACTAGCCCTTTTCTCCTTTACTCCCTCCCCTCAGTTCCCTCAGACATAGACCATTGGAGGGTCTGCCCAGGGGACAGTCCATCTCCACTTAACCCCCCCACCCCCACCACAGTCCCTTCCTAAGCTGGGATGGGACCCAGCGTGCAGATCACCTGGACAGTTTGGCGGTTGTACACCTTCACCACATGGAAGCGGAAGCTGTAGACACCCCGGACAGGGGCCACAAAGGAGCCTGAGGCTCGATCAAAGCCACCACCCTCGTTCACCAGGACCTGGGGGAAGTAGACCCTGCTGAGTGGGGTGTCTGTGGCTCAGGGAGACCCCTGGGTTAGAGAAAGAGACAGTGAGTCAGGAAAAGAAGTGGGGATCAAGTAGGAGGGAACAGGAGAAATATGCAGAGGGAGTGTGAGTGTAGGGAAGGGAACTGGTGGTGGGGGCTATTAGAGAAAAGGTAGGAGGCTGCTTTCTAAAAGTTTGAGGGGCAGCAAGGAGGGCTTGGACAGTTATTCCAGGCCCTGGCAGGCTCCTTCCCAGTCCCCTGCGGGGAGTTACCTGGTCAAAGTAGATGGCTCCACTGGTGCCGTTCCCAGTCTCTCCTGATGGCTCATGGTGATGGCTGCGGACTGCAGCAAATGCCACTCGTCCTGGGGGTGCCTCTCCAAGGGCTGCCCCCCCGGGACCCCCTGCAGCAGCTCGGCCAGGCTCACACACCACCAGGCATTCACCCTCCAGTAACACAGGCTCTGCTCCCTCCTGGGCCCACCCAACGCCCAGGGCCAGAAGTATCAGGGCCAAGGGTGGCCCAGGGCTGAGTGGGGAACCTGGTGACCAGCCTTGCTTTGCTCCTAGCATGACTGACTGAGTGGCTCTGCGACTCACTAGCCCCCTTTTGTCTTGTCCCTCAGCCGTGGTGATGCTCCTTACTGTCTCCTCTCCACGCACCACCCCTAGCCCGGCTCCTCAGCCTGCAATCTGGTCTCACAGTCACTTGGCCTCAAGGGGCGCCTCCCTCTCCATACCTCTCTGTGCCCCAAGACTGGCCTGTCTCTCATTCAGTCACTCTTGCTGTCCCTGCAATTCCCTCCCCCTTGGCAGAACATAAAATGACAGCAGTTGGGTCCTGGGAGGGAGAGGAGGGATGAAGCTGCCTGACTGGAGGGCTCTTTGGATGGCAATGAAGGACGGACGGGGAACAATGACGAGTATGGCAGTGTCAGGGTGGGCGTGTGTGTCTGTGAGTTTGTGTGTGAATATGGGAGTATGTATGTGAGTGTGTGTGTGAGAGAACGAGTGAGAGTGTGAATGTCAGTGGGTGTGTATGTGTGACTGTGGGAAAATATGTGTATGAATGTGTGTGTGTGTGTTGCGTGCCACAGTTCCTGTAATCCCCTCCTCCTCCTTCTCATTCCTCACCTTTCTTAAAAACCCCTCACAAGTCAACAGCCTTTCGGAGGGGGCATTTTTTGCATTTGTTGGAAGAAAGGGTGCTCTTGTCTTTTTCTCACAATTGTTTTGGTAGAAGTGCTTGGGCCAAGCGCAGCATTAATTTGTGACCTTGGGCCAGTCACTTTCCCTCTTTGGTCTTCCCGTCATTCAAACGGACCGGATTAGAGGAATTTAACTCTCTCTTCACCCTTAACTTTCCATGAATGGTTTCCCCTTTAACGAAAAGCAACAGTGCGGAGCGAGCGGGGTGAGCAGAGGAGAGAGGTGGGGGAGAGCTGAGGAGGGAGGAGTGGGCGGGGAGAAAGAGTGAGTGGGTAGGGCCTCGCTGAGGCCGTGCCAGGAAAGGTGGAGCCAAGCGTGCTGAGCTGTGGGTTTCCTGCCTGGGGCACCTCCTCTTGCCCGGAGGGCGAGCTGGGAGCCCAGGCTCCGCGCAAGCCCAGCCCTTGGGAGGAGCCAGGCTGACCCCGCCCAAGGCCAGGAAGTGGCGCAGGAAAACATTTTGCGATGTGGGGACTAGAGGCCCCCGTTGGGTGAAGAGCCCGGGAAGGCCTTCCCAGATTCAGGTCTCCTGCTGGCCCTTCTCACTTGGGCGAAGCTAGGGGCCTGTGGCACCGAGGGACGCCCGCGGGACGAGGTCGGAGCGGGTGGTCGCGGCGGGTAGGCTCCCCTCCCCCTCCGCGGAGGCGCAGTGGGGACCCGGAGGCTAGACCACTCACGGGGCTGTCGGGGCCTCCGCGGGCGGGCACGACAGCCTTAGGCCTGGAATGGGGGATGGGGCACGTGGAGGAAGAGATGGGAGTGGCTGAGATCTTGGAAATGCAGAGGGACTCTAGAGGACAGTCCAGTTCTCCTCTGGTGAGGAGTCATCTTTCAGACTGGGACCGGGAGATTTCTCCCTGAGGAGAGGCGTCCTCAAGACTCTTTGATGTCCACCTGCCCATTCTTTCTGGTCTCTAGACCAAGCTGGAGTTTCCCACTCTTCCAGTTCAAGGGCTGAGACCATCATTTTCTAAAGGGGAGACGCCCATCCCAGAGAGACCCACCCAAACCCCACTGCCCTCCAGTTGGTTCTGACTTATAGCGATCCTATGTAGGGTTTTGAAGGCTGTAAACCTGTACGGGAGCAGGCGAAGCGGCTGATAGCAAGCAGTCCAGTGATTACCGTGTTTTGTTAAGTGCCGTCGAGTCGATTCTCGATTCTCGTAGCGGGAGCGGCTGGTGAGTCTGTAGTCTTGTATATATCCCTGACTCACTCTCCTGAGAGTTCTGTTCGAGTAACCTGTCACGCTCGCCTTACATCCGTCAGGCCCTGGGGTTGTTTACCGATTTTACTAGGCGTGGTGTCTATTGATAGCTGGTGTCGCCAGGAGACCTAGACGTGGGGTGAGGGGATGTGAGGCTCTGAGTTCCTTTCTCATTTCTCAGGCATGGATGATGCAGCTATGCCTACTTGGGGGGCCGGCTTCCTGTCACCCGACCACTTTGCTGTGTCTGCGAATGCAGAGGACCAGGTGCGCAAGCAGCAGCCCTACGTGGAGCGCATCTTCGGCATAGAGATGAGCTTTCTACCGAAGGACTGCCCGGAGAATCCCCACATCTGGCTGCAGCTTGAGGGTCCCAAGGAAAATGCCAGCAGAGCCAAGGTAAATGCCCCTCCCCTGATCCTTCTCAGGAACAAAGATTCCCTCCTGAGCGGGCAGAGGAATGGCTTGGGGAGGAACTTGACTTCTTGATTGTCTCATTGACCACGTTAGTGCCCCTGAGCCTTGAAAGACTTCCTAGTTCTGTATGTGCGTGGAGTTTTGGTTTCATTTCTGCTGTGACTGCTAGGACAGATGATTCAATTCAAATCAATTTGTGCTACTTGGTAAAAGAACCAAACCCACTACAACTGAATAAATTACAACTCATTGTTACCCTATAGGACAGAGTAGAACGTTCCACAGGGTTTCATAGGCTGGAAATCTGTACACACTGCCTCCTTTTTCTCCAGTGGAGAGGCAGGTGAGTTTGAACTGCTGACTATTGTTAGCAGCCCAAGGCTTAATCTACTTTGCCACCTGAGCATGCGGGCTCCACCAAGGAATTCGCTGGGCAGTGGATTGTTGTTTGCCTTCTAGTGGTTGTAGATTCAGTGACCCCCTGCGATGGAGTAGAGCTGCCCCCTGGTTTTCTTGGCTGTAATCTTTATGGGAGTGCTGGTGGTGCTGTAGGATAAGCACTGGACTGCTAGCCACAATATCAGCAGCTCCAGCCTGTCTGCCTTGGAAACCTTATACAGGGTTGCTGTGAGTTGGAACCAACTCGATGGGACTTAACAGCAACAACCTTTATGGAGGCAGATTACTAGATCTTACTCTTAAGGAGCCTCAACGTTTCAGTTATCAACCAAGGGTTAAACTGCTGGTCACTGAGGCTGGGCCTCGCTTTGGAGTCAAGCAGACTGGAGTTCCAGAATTGGCTCTACTATCCAACACTCTATGAACTAAGTCTCAGTTTCCTTATCTATGGAATTTGAATAATAGCACCCACCTCACTGGGCGTATTGTGAGTGAGATGACCCATATAAAATGTGAGTACAGGAAACGTTAGCAGTGATGATCATTGTATTATGATGGAACAATACAATGTACACACACACACACAGATATTTAAAGAGATAGCCTTGTAGCCATCAGTTCAAGTGCTAGGTGGAAATACTAAGCCCAGGCTGTCAGCTGAAAAGGGAAAGAACTGAGGTTCTCTATCTCTTTTTAACTCCTGCCTTTGTTGGGGGCCATGGCACTCCATTATTTTGCACTGTAATCTTGGAACTCAGAGGACAGAGCTATGAGGTTGAGGGGTGACCATGCCACTTAGGATTCCAGCAGTTTCCTTTCCTGTCTCTTTCCTGTACCCCGCAGGAGTACCTAAAAGGTCTCTGCAGCCCGGAGCTGCAGAATGAGATCCACTACCCATCCAGACTGCACTGCATCTTCCTCGGAGCCCAGGGCTTCTTCCTTGATTGCTTGATTTGGAGCACAACAGCCCACATGGTCCCCCTGGCCCCTGGCACGCTGATGATCAGTGGCCTGACTGAGGCCTTCGTTATGGCTCAGAGCCGAGTGGAGGAGCTGGTGGAGCGGCTGAGTTGGAACCTGAGGCCAGGGCCATGTTCGGGAGCCTCTCAGTTTGCTGGTGTGCTGAGAGACTTTTCTGCCCTGCTGCAGTCCCGAGGGGATGCTCACAGAGAGGCCTTGCTGCAGCTGCCCTTGGCTGTCCAGGAGGAGCTGCTGAGTCTGGTGCAGGAGGCATCCAGGGGGCAGGGGCCACAAGCAGGCCTGGCCTTGGAGGGGAGGAGCCCAGGCCTGCCAGGAGTTGGAACTCTCCTGAGTGAAGTTGGGGAATCCCTGGACACTGGATCTTTGGGGTGGGGAGGATCAAGGGGGGAGAGATATGCCACAGTGAGGGAAGGTGGAAGAACTGGTGGTCCCAAGGAGATGAATTTGGGGTGGAAGGAGGTGTCTGGGGAAGATGCTTGGGAGAGAGGTGAAACTTTCAGACTGCAGTCAGGGGGAGGAGTAGTCGGGGCATCAGTGCCCATGAAAGGGAAGGCTATGGGGAAGGAGCCGCAGGAAAGAGGAGGGTTCTGTGTGCAGCAGGAGCCTCCTGGTGCTCATGGCCCCTCTCAGAGAGCAAGTCAGCCTCGGGGAACCTCCCTCCTCCAGCGACTCCACAATGGGCAAGCCTCACCCCCAAGAGTGCCTAGCCCTCCACCTGCCCCTGAACCCCCATGGCACTCTGGAGACCGGGGAGCTAGGGGAGACAAGCAGCAGATCATGAGTCGAGGTCGGAAACGGGGCCCCCGGGGAGGCAACCTGGTGACTGGCACCCAGCGTTTCCAGGAGGCCCTACAGGATCCCTTCACCTTGTGCCTTGCCAATGTGCCTGGCCAGCCAGACCTCCGCCATATCGTCATTGATGGCAGCAACGTGGCTATGGTGTAAGTGCCTGGTAGGGCTAAGAGCAGGGGGCAGGGGAGATGAAACAGGCTAGTACTGCAGTTGGACCCCTTCCATTGCAGGCACGGCCTTCAGCACTGCTTCTCCAGTCGGGGCATTGCCATTGCTGTGCAGTACTTCTGGGACCGTGGCCACCGAGACATAACTGTCTTTGTGCCTCAGTGGCGCTACAGTAAGGATGCCAAGGTCAGAGGTGAGTCGAGCTTGGTCTTTTGTGTCCTGGGATTAAGCCCCTTGGGGATAGTCTACCTTGGAAAGAACTGTTCCTCTCTTTCCATAGAGAGCCACTTCCTGCAAAAGCTGTACTCTCTCAGTCTGCTCTCTCTCACTCCCTCTCGAGTCATGGATGGCAAGAGGATCTCCTCCTATGATGACAGGTACTTGTTCCTCCCCTGGACTGTAGACTGTGCTTGGTATTTAAGGGAGCCCAGTGAGAAGCTGAGGAAGAGAGGGAAAGTCCAGATGCTTTGTGCTTTTTCTAGTCTGGGTGTTGGGGAAAGGACTAGCTATTTCTCAGTGTGCTCTTGTGACTAGGTACCTATATCTGCCCTTCCTGAGAGATGAGATGGGCTGGGAGCAACTTTGTCCCATTCACCATGTTTCATTCATTAAAGTACGTAATGATCTCTTACATTTTGGTGCCTTACAGTCTAGAAAGAACTGGTTTAGTGGAAAGATGGGGAGCTGGTGGCATGACTAGCTGACACATGCCTTCTTGCAACCTAAATTTCTAAACATAGAGAAAAATTTCTCCAAACCATCTAATGAAACATCAAAATAATGAATAAAATGAGAAACCTGATCCATGATCCAAGTATAGTCTTACTTTGTATAGTAAGACTATACAAAGCTTGATATAATATAGACAGATCACTGGACGTAGAATTTGAAGAACTGAATTTGAGCCCCAAGTTGATGTGGGTTGTGGAGCACTCTCTTAGTGACTTACCTCTTTGTCTCAGGGTCCTCCTCCATTCATTCACCCTCCTTGTGAATATCAAAAGAAGAGAAAGTAAGTGCTTGCCTAAGTCAAAGTACTGAGTAAGAACAGAGTGATTATTACCTCTTTTAACTTTGCATGAACAAAGACAGATGTGGCAAGAGGATGTTGTCTCTCTTACATAGTTATGGAGGCTGAGGGTAAGAGTGAGTGACTGTCTTGACAAAGGCTTAACATGGAAAAATTAGAACTCAAAGTTCTGAGTAGAGTTGCCAGATCATTTAAGCAAACAAAAATACAGGGCACATTTCCTCCCCAGCAAATATACAAGGGGTCTTCAAAAGGTTTGTGGAAAAATGGAATGAAAAAAGAATGGAATTTTTCTACAATCTTCTTTAAGCTCCCTCATAAGTGGTGTGGGAAAGAGACTTGAAAAGTTAATCAGCCAATTAAAAAATTTAAACCTACAATGCTCTCTAGGATGCTGTTCTGTTTTAAATGAAAAATTATAGTTTCTAAACCATGTAATTGTTGTTAAGTGCCATCGAGTTGGCTCTGACCCATAATGAACCTGTATAGGGTTTGTGCTTTTTCTAGGAGTGGCTGGTGAGCTTGAACAGCCGTCCTTGTGGTTCAAACTGACTTTGCAGTCCAATGCATTAACCCACAGCACCACACCAGGACTCCATCCTCTGCAAATGCACCACTGTGTGTATTACTCTTAGTAGGCAAAATTTCAAATTTATATTGTGTTGTCTGCCTACTATGTCTTACACAACTGTGCAAACTTTTACATTTTATTAAAACTGGATCAAGCTTCACCTTCAATACTGGTGTGTAAAGAATGTTCCATACTTGGATAATCTGTGAATCTAGTCATAAAACAGAATGGCATTGGAAGGTGAATTGCCTTTTTGGAGAACAGCATTTATTTTTGTGGGGGCTGGCACAGGGAGGAGGTAAAACCTTATACAGGGTCACTATGGGTTAGAGTCGACTTGATAACACTTAACAACAACAACAACAACACTGTGAGGATACCGATGAACAAGCCACACACATAATATGATAACAGTAAAATGTACCTAACCAGGAAATCAACAGGGCATAGATTTTCCCTCAGTATGTTTCTCAGACAGAAACTCAGGTCTGACTAGTCATCTGCTGTACTTACTACTGAATCCCAATCCTCTCTGTTCCACACACTGTCTTGCACATACTGACAGCCCTGCACATACTAGTTAAATGGCCTGCGGAAGGAGGTGGGAACTCTGGGAACAAATCTGATTTTTGTCCTCAAAGAGCCAAGGTCAACTCTAAATCAAACAGTACAGCAGCTTAGGAAGAGGAGCCCACTTCTGGCCAGGGTTCTGTGGGAAGGGAGGTATTTGTGTGCTTTTTGTTGATTAAGGCTCAGGTAGGATATTCTGGATCTTTTGGGTTCTAAACCCATTAAAAAGACCCACTGACCACCTCATGAGTCTTACCCTTGCCTTGTGGAATCAGAATTATTCAAATGGGTCATAGGCATAGATATTTTTACAGTTCTGATGATTCTGTTCACCATTAGGTTTGGTAATTCCCTTTCAGATGGGAGTAGAATAGTTTCAGAAACATGAACATAAGGAAGCATAGGGCATACTTGGAGAATAGGGTCTGATCATTGATTTTGGCTGGAATTGAGAGTACATCAGGAACTAGAGAGAAGGATGTAAGAATGGCTTGGAGCTTGGTCCTGGAGGGCTGTAGCTGCTAGGCCTGGGCTTGTAGACTTTTCTTTCGTAGATAAAAGCCAATTGTAGGAGAGTTTTGTGTAGGGGAAGAGTATTTTCTCTTGAGGAAGGACAGGATAGACTGGAGTGTGGCTATAGGTAGGGGACCCACCTGTTTGGAGACTTGGAGTATCCCAGTGAAGGTATCCTAATCATTGAAGTGATAGTGGGTGGGCCTGAAAAGTGGGGTGGGGATAAAGGTGAAAGGCTCCTCAGAGAAAGAACATAATAGATTTGTGACTTTTTGGGGTAAAGTAGAAGGTAAAAAAGTCAGCTCTGTAAGACCTGTCGCTTAATTAAAGAGGCACTAAGTATTGGGAAGGGGATGTTATTGGGGAGATCAGCTTGGAGTCATCCTTGTTTCCTTTCTAATTCATGGCACCTCTATACAATCGGTCACCTAGTGGCTGGGTCAAGACGAGGTGAGGGACCAGAGCTACATCACAAAAATAGGTTGTGGAAGTCCATAACTGCCTCTGGGGTTGGAGAATCCAACAATGGCTGCCGTGGTTTTTGAGATAGGTTCATGGTGAAGCTGGCTGAAGAGAGAGATGGGATCATCGTCTCCAATGACCAGTTCCGGGACCTGGCGGACGAGTCTGAGAAATGGATGGCAATCATCAGAGAGCGGTGAGGGAGCCCTCCCCTGAAATAGGGCAGGGGCTCTGACTTTCTCTAAAACCAGCCCTGTTCTGGTTTCCAGGTGGGAACTCTGGGAAGGTGCTGAAGTTGCTTTGAAGGATGGCAGTCAGCAGCTTCAGTTGGTGTTAGTCTCAGCTGCATGGGAGGTGGGCAAGGCTTCCCTCTGTGACTATTCTCTGTCCCTATCCAGCTTGCTGCCCTTCACCTTTGTGGGAAACCTTTTCATGGTCCCTGATGACCCGCTGGGGCGAAATGGCCCCACTCTGGATGAGTTCTTGAAGAAACCAGTCAGGTAAATCCCAGATCCTACCGCAGATAGCTCCCAGCCCTGACCTCTGCAGGGAAGGAAGCTTTACAGACTCAAAAGACTTAGGTATGAGCTAGATTTGTTCTTGTTAAGTGCCATCGAGTTGGCTCTGGCTCTGACTCAGAGAGACCTTGTGTAGGGTTTCCATGGAGTGACTGGGTGGGTTTGAGCTACCACCCCTGTGGTTAGCAGTCCACCAACTTAATTCTGGTGGGGTGCTGTAGGATAAGCACTGGACTGTTAACTGCAAGGTTGGTGCTTCAGACCCACCAGCTGCCCCATGAAAACCCCATACAAAGTTGCTCTGAGTCAAAACAGACTCGGTGTCCCCTAACAACAATTGCATGCTAGTTTTCATTGCCTTGGGCTTGGTGAAGCATCCTGAGACAGAGCCTCCAGGTAGGGAGGGTAATTCCTGTTTCTGTTAACCAGTGCTTTTGATTGAGTTATTTGTGAGATGAGTTTGCTTTTACTTCTGCCCTTCGCTGAACTCTTAGGTGATGAATTTACTGGACTTGAACTAAATCTTAATAATGACCAGGCTAACCTTTTAGGGCCCAAAGGAACGCTGCCGCTGCCTTTCCTTTGGCGGTGGGGTGATACTGCCACTCAGTGGTCATTTTGGAGAACTTCAGGATTTCCCTCCCCTCCCCCAAAGCCAGAAATAAAACCTATCATCCTTTGGTAGGAGTCCTGGTATGGCACTGTGGAGTAAAGCACTGGACCGCAAGGTCAGTTTGACCCATACACACCAGCCACTCCTTGGAAACTGTACACAGGGTCGCTATGACTTGGAACTGACAGCACTTAACAAAAACACAAAATAATCTGTGGAAAGGAGCTCTAGGGACATGTTTAAGTGTTCCCATCTGCTAACCTAAAGTTCAGCAGTTCAAATCCACCAGCTGCTCTTTGGAAAAAAAATGTGGCAGTTGGAATCCACTCAGTGGCAATGGCTTTTTAAAAAAAGTCTTTACAGAAGCAGACTGCCACATCATTGTCCCGCGGAACAGCTGATGGGTTCAAACTGCCAACCTTTTGGTTACAACCAAGGGTTTAACCACAAGGCTCCATGTGCTGGAAATTGGCATGACATTTTACTGGGGATGGTGGTGGAGTTAAATGTGCTGTTGAGTTGGTTGTGATTCATAGTGACCCTGTATAGGGTTTCCAAGGAGCGGCTGCCAACCATGTGGTTAGCAGTCCAATGCTTGTCCTACAGCAGGGTTGGGAGCTCTAATTTCCCTCCAGTAAGCTCGTCAGCTCTTTATGTGTTCTCTGCTTCTTCCCAGGACACAAGGGTCTTCTGAGGCTCAGCATTCTCCCAGGACCAGTGCAAAACAAGGCCATCAGCAGCGGGTGAAAGAGGAGGAAAAAGGCAGCGGAGGTATTCGGAAGACCCGTGAAACTGAGCGGCTCCGGCGCCAGCTGCTGGAGGTGTTTTTGGGCCAGGATCACAAGGTGGACTTTATCCTGCAGCGGGAGCCGCACTGCAGGGACATCAACCAGCTCTCTGAGGCCCTGCTCAGTCTCAATTTTTGAGCTTCACCTGCTGAGTGGCTGCTGCCTGTCAGTACCAGTGTTGCCTAGCCCAGTCCCTGTTTTGAGTCCCTCTTCTGCTCAGAACCTGACCCAGATTCACTCTGGGTTGGTGTGTTGGGTCAGGGAAGTAAGGGTATAGAACATTTGTGCATTGGGAATGTTCTTGCTTGGGGCTCTGTGGGGATAGGTCCATAGATGCCATGGAATCAGGATCTCAGCCAGTTCTCATGAGCTTCTGTTCAGCCTTGCCGTAGTATACAGTTGCTGGAGGGAGTGGGGGCTGCTGGGAAGGATGCAACTGAGAAGCTGGCACTACCAGCTCTACCTCCAGGCTGAGTTGGGGATGGGAAACAAAGACCTGGTGGCAAGGAAACTAAGATGTTCCTTCCCTTGGCTGCTGCTTTGTGTGGTCAGAGGACAGGGTGCTGGCCAGGCCTTGCTAGGCCTCCAGAACTATTGGTGGTAATCCTGAGCCCTGGAAAGACTATAGTGTTAGGTGGGCTGGCCACAGTGGGGGACCTGGGAAAGAAGGCAGGAGGAGACTTGGCTTCTGGTCTCAGCCACGACTGAGATCTTGAGTTGTGCATGGACTTTGTTTCTGCCTGTAAACCACAGGTAGAAATATCTGTTGGAGCAGTGAGTACATACAGGAAAGCTCACTGGAGAAAAGGTGCTTTGACCAAGGTTTCCTAACCATGACATAAGTTTCAGAAAGCTGTAGGTCGTCTGTCCCCTGGGATCTACCCAGGCCCTGGGTAGCTTTTAACACAGAATTCTTAGTATAATGTGCCCTGTTAATGGCTGCATATCCCTTTTGGGCAACCCCCCAAATCCACATTTTCAAAATAGTTAAATTAGGGGTTGACTGTTTGCATTACCAGAATACTCTCAGGTTTCCTTTAAATGGCAGCTGGCCCACTGCAATCAAGTGTTTACATATTAACCAATGTGTCAGAAAATCCCCAGTTAGATGTATTTGCTGGAGTGCTGGGAACAATCACGAAACCAATGAAGACATGCTATGCAAGGACAATGTTGATGTGGTCTGATCCGATCCCTAACATTTTCTCTACATAACGCATAAAAGTGAGGCACATTTCTGTTTTGTGTACACTTGTGTATATGGGGACGGGGAGTTTATAGAAGTTCTATCATGATGCACTGATTATCTGGAATACGAAAACTAACGAATCAGAATTGGAAGGGTACCTGACTGGCCACCACACCAACTGCTGTCCTATCCTGATGTTCTTCCTCCTCCCTGAGTTCTACGGGTCACCACCCTGTAGCTGCTTGGAGTCCTATGTCCGAGAAGTTACTGCCACACAAGCTGGCACACCACCTCTGAACAGCATTAGTCATTACTTCTTTCTTTCCTGTAGCCTCAATTATGCTTTTATATTCTTTCTGCATTTGAGGTAGGTCAGTCCTTCAGCTGAGAGGCAGCAACAGAGCCAGCCAAATTCCTAGAGAGGAGTCTAAGGCTAGAGAAAGAATGAGACAAGCCTCCGGGCATGAGTCTTTTCAGGCTTGGCCTTCCTCACTCTCAGAGGCACAGGGAGTTGAGTGCTGTTGTCTTTGTCTTTCATTCCAGCAACTAGCATGGGGAGCTGAATGATGATGGTGTCCCTGGGTCTCCCATGTTTCCTCCTACCCCTATCCTCCGTCTCATAATTTATGATTGATACCACTAGACAAGTATTGACCAGGACTAGGGAAGGGTGTGTTAAAAAGTGGCTAGCTATGGGGATGACCATGACTCAAAGATAGCTTACAGTTCCCTAGGAAAAAAGGAGGTTGGCTAATATGACCCACTACTTGTGGTCAAGTTGTGGCAGAAATCTACAGGATAGATAAAAAGAAAAAGTCCTATTAACACTTGACACATTCCCCCCCCCCACCCACCCACCCAATTGGGCTGAATTTATAATGTTGATTGTTGTGTCCTTAGTCCCTTGCCTTGTTCACTTTCAGTATCATGGTGGGATGTGAGTGGACCAGAGGTATTTTCTGCTCTTTTGTGCTAAGGACCCTGATTGACTAAAGTGGCCCCATTCAGCTGAGAGGCAAGTTCTGTGCTTCTTACAGGCAGAGATGTTGACTTTTTCCTGCTGTAACTTCAACTGGGGCTAGTGTGTGATTCTTTAATAATTACTTACCATTTGGTTACATGGACTGAAGGCTCTCCTAGACCTGTCCTCACCTCTTCCTCTGCTAGCATCATGATGGCAGTCTGTGAACAGGTATGCAGGTGACATCTAGACCAACTGGAAGTGGGCCCTCATTTCTCTCTTCTTCCAGTCTACCTTTGTCACAACCTTATGCCCCCAAATTGCACCCAACATTTGTGCCAACAGAGGGACCAAGGGGATAGGTGAGGAGAGCTTGTCCACTGTAACTTTCAAAGAGTCAACCTAGGATGACAGTGCTTGAAATAACTTCTCGGAGAACCTAAGCCAAAGAAATGAGTTGAAGCTAGTGGAAAATCGATCTTTATTGTCTAAATTGCAGAGCATAACGTAGTATATGCATAAGGCAGGAATGGAAAAGTTAGGGAAACTAAGCTCGGGAATTCTTTGGGAAGGTCCTAACTTCATGGATTTACAACCTTGAGAGCATATACAGTTTCTCAGTGAAAGAGGATGGAACAGCAAAACAGGAGAGAAGCAGGCAGGAAGAATCCCTAAGAACTCAGTTCAGAGCTCAAGTTGAGGCACATCTGAGCCTAGTCACAGTTTCTAACCTGGAAGTCATAGTTGCAGGGAGAGACCTCAGGCCCCTGCCATCAACATCCTTATTTAGGCTACAACCTCCTTTAAGGCAGCCCCCAGCTTTGGGAAGGAGTACAGGTAGCCAGTGGCTAATGTCCGCCGTGGGACCACTTTCTGACCCTCCAGCAGCATGACAGCACGCTCTCGCCCAAAGACGGCTTGCACCACAGGGCTGGGAAGGGGGATGAATGCTGGGCGACCCAGGGCAGCACCCAGGGCCTGTGCAAACTCAGCATTAGTGGTGGGGGCTGGAGCCACTCCATTCAGGACCCCCTGTACATGTCTTGCTTCAAGGGCATGGGCCAGAATTCCCGCCAGGTCACTGATGTGAATCCAGGGGAAGAACTGGCGGCCTGAGCCGATGGGGCCTCCCAGACCCAAGCGGAAGGGCAGCAGCATCTGGCCAATGGCACCACCCTCACGGCCCAGCACAACTCCTAGAACAAGCAGTAAGGATGGCATGGGGGAGGCCCCTCAACATAAAAGTGACCCCAGTGATCCCTGTTTTTCCATCCTCATCCTCTCATGTGCCACCACAGCCCTGTACCTGAGCTCAGGAGTGTGGCTCCCTTTGGGACTTGTCACCCTCCCATCAAGATTGACAAGTAGTGGTATTCTCTCACCCTCTGTAAACTCAGCTCCTCTTATCCCACTGCCTCCAAACCCAGGGAAGATGTTCCAACCAATCGTGTTTTTGGTTCTCACCCGAGCGCACCACCACTTGCCGTGTAGAATCTCCAGGAAGTTTTGCGGCAGCTTCCCATTTGGTTACAAGGTTGGAAAAAAAGTCAAAATCCCCTCCGGGGCTGTCCTCATCATATTCTGCAGTCAGGCTGGGTTGGTAGTAAGCTGTTAGTGGAACAGCATTCGTCTGCTTGATGCCCTTGGTTCTTTCTGCCTGGATCTTTATAGTTGAGGCTCCACTTAATCTTATTTTCCTTGGCCCTTAGGATTTCCCCCGTGAGAACACAGCCGCAGGGCAAATCCCCTCCCCTCCCCCGGAGCTTTCCCATGACACTGACCTTAACTGTCCTGGAGGAATGCTTATCTGTGGTTGGAAGGCTAAGCTGAGAGGGGGCTAGAGTATCCTGGTTGAGAACAAAGACCTGAGTGCCAGGCTCCTGAATGTTAAGCTTAGATCCAACATCTTAGCTCTGTGACTTTATGCAAGTCACTTAACACCTGTGGGACTAATAAAGGAACCTACCTATCTCATAGGTGGTTGTGAGGACTAGATGCTGTAATATATATAAAACACTGGGCTGGCGTATGTGAGGGATAAGGTCGTATGTGAGGGATAAGGTCGTGGAAAAAATGGAATGAAAAGATAATGGTATTTTCCCATAAACTTTCAAGAGCCCCCTGGTACATTATAATTGCTCACTCTTTGGTCAATACAAAGGTAAAACACAAGTTCCTAAAGAACTATAGTGTGAGAAGCAAAAGAACTCAGAGTAGGTGGAATTTTCCCTGGTACTGGGACACTTCCCACTTCCCCGTCTTTGTTCAAGGGTCCCTGTTGTCAGTAAAAGTATATAAAGAGAAACAAGTATTCATCCGTTGAGGGTCTAAGGAATTACTGTGCCTGTAGACACCAGGGCTTTGGGCTGACTATAGCTAGGACTTGAACTTCCTCCTCCCCTGTATCTTCTTCCCCCTACCCGCCCCCCTCTCCCCAATGTAAAGGGTTGGTGATGTGGAACATACCTACACCTGTGACTAATATCCAGGTCCTGGGGGGTTGTGGAGCCTTGGAGATGGTGCTTGCCAGCATTTGGGTTGTCTCCAGGCGACTGCTGAGAACCTCCTTTTGAAAGGCTTCATTCCACCTCCAAGAGAAACGAGGAACAGTCACTAAAATGCATACATGCACAGGTCCTCTTTCCCTGGGGCATGGTCAGTACCCAATTCTAGTAAAATGTGATTTAGGGAAATGGCCCTCGCAACCTGTAGAGTACAAAGGCATATCTATCTTGGGCATCCCGAGTTATCTGTGAAAGGCACAGGTGGGTCCGAAGGGGTCGGGGTCGGGGCGAGTGAGTAGTTTCTCAATCTGGGAGCTTCAGCATCTACAGCTCTGAAATTCCCCTAAGAATCGGGTCATCTCAGCTTCAGGGCCCCGCTGACCTTCGGAGAGGGTTGAGGATGTTCTCTCCAGCTAGGTTGATGGCAGCGTCACAGCTGGGCAGCCCCGATTTAACAAGCTCATCCTGTTAAAGAGAGCTAACGGTGTGCTTTGAGGCCCCGTCAACTCACCCTCCCCACCCAGTGGGCCGGACATACCCACGTGATACGATTCGGCCCAGGCTTTCGGGAGATCAACGTCACTTCGTGGCCGCGGGATTTCAGCAGCTGTGTTAGGGCTGTCCCAATGAAGCCAGTCCCGCCACCTGGTAGGGAAAACTGTTTAACGTCCATCCCAGGGGCTCCTTCCATCCCTGCAACTGACCCCTTCTCTGATGTTATCTATACTTTGTTAAGTGACACGGAGTCGGCTGCGACTCTAGCGACCCTGGTGAGTTTGAACCGCCGACCTTGAGGTTCAAACTGCCCTTGAGGTCCAGCGTATCATCACACAGCGCCACACCTGGACTCCGTATTTCTTTCTTCCTTTTTCTCCCCTCCCCGCGAATCAGAAGTGACTCCGCTATAAGAATTGGGGCCAGGAGGCCAAAGCCAAGTTGCCTGTGCAAACAACACAGCTTTCTCTCGGATACGGCCTCCCAACCTGCCTTCTCAGGCTAAATATTTTTCCCACAAACATGATCCCCACACCTTTTCTCGCTTCCCTCACCCACAAGCACGCGCATAGCGACCGGGACCCAACACGCCTGAGCTGGTTTTACGTAGAATTCCCCTCCCTCTTCCCGGTAGGAATCTATTAAGATCTGTTTGCGCAAGCGTCTCAGGATACTAGACTCTATAGGAGGGGGGCGGGAAAGATTGAGAATGGGCGTGGCCCCGCCGGGCTATCCGGAAGAATTTAAAGACATAGGACGTTTATTTGATGTTGCTAACTGGGGTAGTGTCGATTCCGACTCATATCGACCCTGTGTAGAGTTTCCAAGGAGCTATCTTGCGGTAAGTTTGAGCTGTCGACCTTGCTGTCCAACGCTTATCCTACAGCGTCACACCGGAAGGCAAATCTGTACAAGACCTTATTTTATGTAGGCATTCAATAAACGTTTATAAAACATTTATTTCACGAGTTGGAATTGTGTGGGGAATAGAACCAGGGCTTCAAACTGGCTAAAAACGGTTCAATAATTAACATCGTAAACAAGAGCCCCCATAAGCTTTGCATGGCAATCGTGTCGGGTTGACCAGTGGTTGTGCAGAAACCATCAAGAGAAGATGGAAGGAATACACAGAGTCATTGTACCAAAGGATATGGTTGATATTCAACTGTTTCAAGAGGTAGCATATGATCAAGAACCAGTGATACTGAAGGAGGAAGTCCAAGGTTCACTGAAGGAATTCGCAAAGAACAAGGCACCAGGAATTGATGGAATAAAAATGGAAATCTTTCA